AAAGCTTAAATATGAATTCTGTGAGAAAAATGCTAAATTTTGATATTAAATTGAATAAATTTGACTTCGGTCAACATTTTGGGTAAACGAACCCGGACCCGTGATTTGACGGTCCCGGAGAATCCGTAGGAAAATATGGGACTTGGGTGTATGCCCGGAATCGAATTCCGAGGTCCCAAGCCCGAGAAATGAATTTTTGTGTGAAATTGTTTTCTGGAAATGATTAAGGAAAATGAAAATGAAAATGAAATTTGATTAAAAGACTGTGGTATCGGGCCCGTATTTTGGTTCCGGCGCCCGATACAAGTCTTATATATGGTTTAAGCGTTTTCTGTAAAGATTGGTTGAAATCGGACGTCGTTTGACGTGTTTCGGACTTAAAACTCTAGATTTGAAAGTTTATGAGGTTTGAGGAAAAACTTGTGATTTGAGGTTTGATTCATTGTTTTTGATGTTATTTTGGCGATTTGATCGCACAGATAAGTCCGTAGGATATTTTTGAGGTCGTGTGCATATTTGGTTTGGAGCCCCGAGGGCTCGGGTGAGTTTTGGATAGGAGTCGGAGTGCATTTTTGAACTTAAGAAAAATCTGGCATTTCAGTTCTGCAATTTTCGCAATTGCGAAGCAGGCCTCGCAATTGCGAGCTCGCAAATGCGAGCCTGGCATCGCAATTGCGAGGAAGGGGGCACTGGGCTGTGGTCGCAAATGCGACCAATGGCTCGCAAATGCGAAGGCCCATTCTTCGCAAATGCGACTAGAAGTTCGCAAATGCGATGCTCTCCCGAATGGCCAGTGTTCGCAAATGCGAACAAAGACCTCGCATTTCCCGTACCTGCAGGGTTCGCAAATGCGAACCCACCTTCGCATTTCCCACATCTGAGGCCTGCATATTTTACACTTAGCCGAATTTTTGAGTCATTTTAACATTCTTTCAAAACACAAACCTCTTTGGGCGATTTTCCAAGAACAAGACTTCTTCCAAATCATTTGTAAGTTGGTTTTTACTCATTTCTTTCAATCTTTAACATCATTTAACATGTTTTCAACTTAAAATCAAAGATTTTCATGGGTGAAATTGGGGGTTTTGGGTAGAACCTAGGTTTTCTAAAAATTGGGGATTTGGACCTCAATTTGAGGTTCGATTTCAAAACAAACTACATATTTGAGTTCGTGGGGGAATGGGTAACCCGATTTTGGTTCGAACCTCGGGTTTTGACCACGTGGGCCCGGGGGCGATTTTGGAATTTTTGGGAAAATTTTTGGGAAATTCATTATTATGCATTCAAATCGATTTATTTAATGTTTATTAAAGCAATTAAGTAAATTGTGACTAGATTCGAGCGGATTGGAGGTGGAATCACGGGGTAAAGCCATAGTTGAGGCTTGAGTTGAGTTCAAGGCATCGAGGTAAGTGTTTGGTCTAACCCTAGCTTGAGGGAATAAGAGTTGAGTCTTAATTGTAACTTGTTAATTGTCGAGTGCTATGTATAGGCATGGTGACAAGTATCTATACATTGGTGTCTAGCATGACCGTGAGTCCTTATTTGGCGAATAGTTTGGTTGTTGTTATGCCTTCCATGCTTAATTGATGACTTTTATGTTTTGTAAAGATCTCGTGAAAGAAATTGTGATCTTTGAACTTCGTGGAGCATTGGCTCGGGTTGAAATACAGATTGTGAAGGTATATGAGATAAGTAACTCATTGGAGCATTGGCTGAAGTGATAATGTGAACTATGAGATGAAAGTGAAAGAAAGTGAAGAGTTAATGATTTATTCCCTTGCCGGGACGTTGTTGGTTATTGATGTAGTACCCTTGCCGGGTTTTTAATTGTTTGTTTGTGTACCCTTGCCGGGACTTCCATTCTTGTTTTATTATTTCCCTTGCCCTTGTTTGTGATTGTTGATTGGGTGAGGAAGAGTGTTAAAGCACGAAGGGTGATGCCGTGCATTGTTTGTTTCATGTGAGGAAGAGTGTTAAAGCATGAAGGGTGATGCCGTGCATTGTTTGTTTCTTGTGAGGAAAGAGTGTAAAGCACGAAGGGTGATGCCGTGCATTATTTGCTTATTGTGAGGAAAAGAGAGTAAAGCACGAAAGGTGATGCCGTGCCGCACGATGTGCCATTCTGTGCCTATTCTATTGATTACATGTGAGGAATGAGAGTAAAAGCACGAAGGGTGATGCCGTGCACGTTTGTTTATATTATTGCTTGGTGAGGATGAGAGTAAAAGCACGAAGGGTGGTGCCGTGCACTTGTTGATCTCCGTTCCTAATTGTTGCATGTTGATGATAGGCTATAATTGCGTATTTTAGTCGATTATTACACTCTAATTTACTGCACTTAAGTTGAGTTTGCGCTTTAATCGCTAGTGTTTTGCACTAACGGTGTGTTTTATGCCTTGTAGGAGTGATTCCGAGCTATATAGATGTTATGGAATGAATTCAAGTGACTTGGAGCTTTGAAGTCTGAGTAAAAGCTCAAGGAATTAAGCCGGGATCGTGTTCGGGGGTCAAATTTGATAATTAAGTACGAACGAAGACTTGAGGAGGCATATTGCGCACTGTCTAGTAAAATAGACATAACTTTTTGATCAGAACTCCATTTGGGCTTCACAATATATGGTTGGAAAGCTAATTCAAATGGCTACAACTTTCATGTTTTATATTTTTCCAAATTCCAAACGGAACAGGGTGAAAAATGGGGTCGAAACCGCGACCGCGGAACTGACCGCGGCAGAAATCAGAGAGCTTGTCTGGCCGCGGTCCTACCGCGTTTTGACCGCGGCCGCGCCCCTCCCGGCGTCAAAAAGAAGTCCTATTTCGCCCGGGACAAGTTTATTTCGGCCCTACACTATTCCAACTTGTATAAAAGGGGTCCTAAACCTATTTTGAAGAAGGAGAGGATAGATTTGAGACATAGATTCGACCTAAGGAGGCAAGAACACATTGGGAGCAAGGCGGAGAATTCTTCTAAGAGTTTTTCCTTCCTCTTCCTATTTTTCATTGTTGGTTATGGCTTTTAGTATTGTAGTTTTACATACTATTATGAATAGCTAATTTGTTATCTAGAGTTTTGATAGAACCTTTTGTAGGATAAATTCTTGTTATGTTTTTATATAATTGAGCCATAGCTTTTCTCTATTTGTTCAACTACGTTTATATTGTGGTTGGTTGAAGAGCTCTCAATTAGCTCTGCCTATTTAGTATGCATAATTCGGGAGAGAGTGCATATTTAAGTAATTGTTGAACAACACCGCTCCCAGAGTATATGAGGGATCAATAACCGAGGGTTTAAAGGCGGGATTAGGGATAACGAAGCCTTAGGTGCGATCTGAAGTGAGCTGTATTAAAAGCCAGCTAGCGTAGCTCGGGAGAGTGCGTCTAGTAAATTATCGTAATTACTCGGGAGAGATTTACGGTAATAAGAGTGCTCATGATTGGTAGAGAATACTTAGGCGAAATTATAGAAGACATAGCGGGAAGGATTCCGAAAATTGGGAAAATCATAACTCTAGACCTCCTTAATCTTTTCTCTAACCCTCAGAATCGTTAGTTGTTAATTTACTATCTTAATTTGTTAGTTAATTAGTTAAACACAAGAATCTTAATATCTATAAGTTAGGAATTGTTCAAGCTTGTCTTCTTGGTGATAATGAACAGCTGTAGCTAAACCTTAGTTCTCTGTGGGATTCGACTCCGGACTTGTAAACCGGATTATATTTGCAACGACCGCATTGTCCTTTTTATAAGGCATAGTTGGGCGTAATCACATGTGTTGTGCCTTCTCTTGGTATTAGTCAATTTATACTTGAAACTGTTATCTCCCCACAGCATGCTTCCCCTCCCATATTGTTTTACTTGTCTTGTATTTCGATTCCGCTGTATATTTATAATTGCACAGGTTTATGTGGTAGTCCAGTCTAGCCTCGTCACTACTTCACCGGGGTTAGACTAGGCACTTACCAGCACATGGAGTCGGTTGTGCTGATACTACACTCTGTGCTATTTTGCACAGGACTAGGTTTCGTGCAGCAGCAGCAGTAGTGTGAGAGCAGACTTCATTTCAGCGAGACCCGAGGTAGCCTTGCAGGCGTCCGCAGGCCCGGCGTCTCCTCTATCCTTTATTTTTTTCTGTTATCTCATTGTATTCGAGACAAACAGTTTATGTTCTCTTTCAGACGTTTGTATGTAGTATTCTTAGAAGTTCGTGAGTAATGTGACACCAGATTTTGGGTAGAGGATTTTGTTGAACCTTCCGCATTTCCAATCAACTTTATAAAATGTTAAGACTTCCGCTTATTATTGAATTTTGTTGCTTTTGTATTATTGTCGAAAAATTGTTAAATGGATTAGATTATTAATGGACAAGTAATTAAATTTGGCTTGCCTAGCTCTCATTAGTAGGCGCCATCACGACTCCCGAGGGTGGGAAATCCGGGTCGTGACACGAATTAAACATATACAGCATGCACGATCACAACATATGCAAGCTTGTTCGAACTACCTCTAATTCTTGCGGTGATACCTAAAATGCAAACAGACACTCTCAAGCAAGTGAAAAGTGTCCCCAGTGGATCGCATTTTGCTAAGAATCACTTAACTGCTAAATGTAATACTGTAAATATGTGATGAACTGATGATAAGAAGTACACAGTTAATCTACAACAATGACCATGCATTTCGAGAGTTTACAGGGACTTTCACAAACTTATATAGTTTCACTATTAGTGACAGAAACAGTGTGAATCTTTATACAAGGTATTTATACAAATCATGGAAATAGCTGCATAACTGTCGCGATTGCAATTTACTAAAATGACAAGGGGTGGAAAGGATGACAAAACGCCCCAAATGTAGCAAAGAATACTAAGTTCATGCATATTTCAGTGTAAAAAGTAGTAGTAATATCGGAAAAAATATGAGATCAATTTTTTTTTGGGCTAATAACTTATTAAGAAAGAGAAGTAAACAAAACGAATGCTATTGCAAACAAACGACAAGATATCCGTATATTAGCCATTTTATTTCAAAAAATAAAAAGGACAAGATATTGGTAAAACAACTAATCCTGTCTTCTTCCACGTAATCAACTTCAAACATGTAAGAGCTAATACTGAGTACAAACAGTGACAACATCTTTCTCTTTGCCAAAACATGCTTTTCCTAGGGTGAGATATCTTAACTCAGTCATTCATCCTCCTCCTTGCATGTTATTGTGTCCATCTAAAATGTAACATTAGTTTGTAGCTACTTGCAGCCTGAACAAGAGGACTTGTCCTGCACATGTTGCGAACAGAAGTAAAACCTATCTAGGTAATATAGACACACTTTTATCAAACATTGTGAGATGAATGAGAGAAGTTACCGCAAAGGAAAACATACTGCTCAGGAACATACCTGCCTTTAATCAACAAGTTGACTTTGGACTTGTCCTTAACCATGTTGAATATTTTCAGTCATACTGCTGTCAACTTCTTCCTCGAGTTGGCAGCTGTATTCTCACGCGATCATCCCACAGTATCTATAGAGTACCTTGGGTGTCTGTTTAACTTGACGACAAGATGAGGCTTCCCATGCACCAGCCACACAAAGGATGAGTTCTTTAGAGATTGAAAACTGGAGTTTCTACTATCTGTTGGAGTCTGCACATTAAAATTGTCCAGCAAAACCAAAGGGCTTTAATGTGCAAGAGCACCTTTGATAAAGTTCCTGCACATGCAATTTTGATTTCATGTTGTCATTTGCTATGACTCTAGCAATTCATGCCACAGATATCGAACAAATATGGGAATATGACAAGTAATTTAATAAAAACCAGAAGTATGGTACGTTTTAGTAACTTCAGGTTGAGATCACCACCAGAATAAATAGTTCAACCCTTTTTTCTGATAAGGAAAAGAAAGTATTAAGTAAATAAATAGTTCAAGCCTTACAAACCAAATGCTTCCCTTCCCAGACTTCAGTCATGACACGCTAAGCCTTTCCCATTTGCTTCGTCTGTTGTGAAATGCCTCATTAAGCAACATCCCTTTCTCCAAGTTAGACTTAGACAGCATTTGATCCATCACCAATAATTATTACAATAACAATTCTCATTAGATAAATGATGAAATCATTTTACTTTCAATAATGATGGTGTACCGGCCAGCTTGTGCCCACCTCGACTAATTCACCGGGAACCTGCTACTTCCACCAGTACAAATACATGGGTAACTCTGTCCGCCAAGCTTAGTAGATAAGAACAAAATCATCTATCATTTTTTTTTGCTTCTGCTGGCATTTGAAGTTTTGAACCGTGATCTGCCAAGGCTCTTTCCAACTTCATTGACCATTAAGTCACTCACTTGGGCGCACAAAACAATGAATCTGCTGGAGTCTTTATAATAACTTGTCTACCAACAACTTGGATACAGTTTTACAGTGGGTTTGATATGCTTAATTCTCCTTACCTTCTTCATGCTCCTTTGATTTCATGGTGTCATTTACTGTCATTCTAGCTGATTCACGCCATAAAATATTTAAGAAATATGGCAAATAATACAAAATTATGGCACACTTTAGTAACTTCATGTCGAGGTCCTCAGCAGAATCCTTGATGCAACACCCTTACACGCTAACTACTTCCCTCCCCATACTTCAGACGTGACATGCTTGAACCTTTTCCATTGGTTTAATGCTTCATTAAGCAGCATCCTTTTCTCCAAGTTAGACAACATTTGATCTGTCACCAGTAATCGTTACATGAACACTTACCATCAGAAAAATGATGAAATCTGTTGGAGTCTCGTAATACTATTTGTCTACCAACAACTTGTGATATGTATTTGAAGGCAGAGTGACAGTCCCCACAAACTCGGAGGTTTTTCATTATTCTTATTGGCATGTCTGATTTCCGTGTAAGAACAAAGGCAACTGCAAGTCTCTCGCTATGATAGCTGAGGAGTTCTTCCTTATTCTCCAGTTCAAGATCATACAAGGCATATTTAATTTGTGGCACATACCCTGCATCCCTAATCTTCTTGTGCAATTCCGTAAGTTTTTCATAAATTGCATCTTTATCTGGATGTGATTGATCACCTGCCACAAAAACATGAACACCATCCCTCATGTTAACCCAGCTGCATCCAGCTTCTTTCCTTGCCGTAGCTTCTCGCATTGCACGCCGAGCCTCTGCCACATCCTCCCATTTCCCTCCCGAAGCATACATATTTGCAAGAAGCACATAGTTTACAGCATTATGAGGTTCCAACTCTAAGAGTACGTGAGCAGCTTTCCTACCTAGATCTGTTTTACGACTCCCTGCTCGACCACAGGCTCCAAGCACAGTCCTCCAAATGAGTGTATTGGGCTTTAATGGCATTTTATTGACGAAGTCCTCCAATTTATCCATCTGACCTGCTCGTCCCAGGATATCAACCATACATGAGAAATGCTCAATCCGAGGTGTCAGACCATATTGTTTGCTCATGGAATCGAAGTAATCCTTGCCCTGCTCAACAAATCCCACGTGGCTACAAGCTGATAAGACACCAACAAATGTGACATGGTCAGGTGTTTGACCTTCCAGCTTCATTTTTGTAAAAAGCTCTAGTGCTTTATGTCCATGTCCATGCCGTGCATAACCAGAAATCATTGAGTTCCATGAATATATATTTCGTAGAGGCATTAACTCAAAAAACCTTGATGCATAATCTATTCTTCCACATTTGGCATACATGTCAACAAGAGCACTCCCAACAACAGTGTCAGATTCCAAACAGGATCTAATCGCACAAGCATGAACTTCCATTCCATGCTCCAATGTTGCAATTGAGGCACATGCACTGAGAACAGAGGCAAATGTGAAGCCATCTAATTTCTGACCCTTGTGCAGCATAAGCCAGACTAAATCCATGGCTTTTGGTAAAACCTCATCGTGCAAATATCCAGAGATCATTAGGTTCCAACTCATATCATCCTTCCTTTCAGACATCCGAGAGAATATGTTCTCACAGTCATCCATTTCCCCGCACTTACCATAGCAAGCAAGAAATGAATTTTCAACAGCATTAGCATCCATTCCACTATATTTTAGCACCAGCGCATGGATTTGACGAACAAGACCAAGAAGAGAAAGAGGTGATATTGCTGAAAGAATATTTATAAACGTCACATTGTTGAGACTCCATCCAGCACGCATCATCTGTATGAAGTACTCTATAGCTTCAGAAATAGATGTCTCAGAATCACCTAATGCACCGATAATGGTATTCCAGGAAACTAGATCATATTCTGGCATCAAGGTAAACAATTTCTTGCATTCAGCCACACATCCAGTGTCAGCATATAAAGCAAGAAGAGCATTAGACACTGAAACATCAAAATCTAGTCCTAACTTTACCCCTTCACTGTGCAGTTGTTCCCCAAATCTTATCCAATTCAGGTTTCCACAAGAACTCAAAGAACTTATCAATGAGTAATTTGACGCCATCAGACCTGTTCTTCTCATCACCTGGAAGATTGATATTGCATCTTCAAAATAATCATTTTGATCTAGAGCGGAGATCATAGAGTTCCATGATACTGAATCCTTATCAAGCATGGTCTCAAAAACAGAACGAGCAATCTGTATTTCACCAAATTTAGAATACATACTAATCAGAGCATTTCCAATAGCAGCCTTGGAGTCGCGCAAACCAGTTCGGATAACATAGGCATGTAGCTCTCTACCTCTTCTTCTCCCTTCTTCCAACAAAGAGAATTCATGAAAAGCACCGAAAAGAACAACGAATGTATCAGAATTGATTTTAACCAAGTCTCTCATCTCCATAAAAAACTTGGTCGCGACTTCTCCTTGACCAAGTCTCACCAATCCGACCATCAGCCCGTTCATGGACACTGCATTCCTTGTACCCATCTGTTTAAAAACCTTCATAGCATTATCGAGACACCCAAACCTTCCAAAACCACTTACCAGAGCACTTCCCACATACAAGTCTTCCAAAAGTCCAGACTTTTCTATTTTAGCCAGTAGCTGCTTCAGCAAAAACAAACCACAATTAACATGATTAGCAGCAGCTGTAATTAAGCTGCCAAAAGTGAACTCAGTAGGCTTACAAATAAACCCCAAATCCTCTTTTTGCATATCAGAGAAGAGCTGAAACACAGAAACTGCATCTCGCTGAGAGTAAACTGAAATAATAGAATTGCAAGATACCGAATTCTTATACTCTATCTCTTCAAAAACACGCCACGCATAATCGCCAGTACCTGCAAAACTTCCATACATCGAGATCAAGACATTGGAAACAACCTCATTAGAAGCATGCCCTGTTTTCAAAAGCAAACCATGAATTTGCATTCCCAACCTAAGCCCACAAGCACCTAAACTCTGACAAGCCCTCAAAGCACTACCACAAGCATAATGGTTAGGTATAAACCCCGACGAAACCATTTCCCGAAAAACATGACATGCCTCGTCAGGCATCCCATTTTGGGAATAACCCGTAATCAAGCACGCCCACGTAACTAGATTTCTGTCCAGCATTTCGTCGAATATATCATGAGCAGAGACCAAATCACCACCTTTCACATATAAATTAATAAGGGTGTTACACAAATACAAATCTTTATCAACCCCATTTTTTAAAATATCCAAATGGAGTCTATGCGCATCGAATTCAGAACAAGAGAACAGGTATTTTTGCACGAGAAATTCGCACTTGTCTGAAACTGTAGGAGCAAAATAGGCTGGCTTTTGGTATGGATGAAAAGCTTTGTCTTTTGTTGTAGTGATGGTGGGATAAGCAAAGTCATTCGAAAAAGACTGAAGAATTGAAGCTGCAAATGTGCTGAAAGTATAAGTGGGGTTTGGATTTTGATGGAGTAGTAGTTTGTTTCGTGTTTGTATAAGTGCTGCCATAAACATGGTGAAAAATGGTCACCGCTGATAGAGCTCGAAAATATTTTGCTGCCTCATTTTAACCTTGGCGCCATTTCAGCTCTGAAGAATTTCATTTGATGACTTTAAAAAACGGTAGCAGGCATTATTAATGTTGGACCATCTTAATTCCATTAATCAAAAGAGATCATAGCATAGAGCTATATGACCTTTAAAACGTGTGCTTTGAAAAAACATAAATAATTATGTGACTATAAATTATCTATATTTTATTAAAGGTTAAAGTAAAATTAATTTTAAATATATAAATTTGTTATTCTTTTTAGATAGATAATAATGTGTCATATAAATTGGCACTGAGGGAGTATTAGGTTAGAGGTCACGACGAGTCTGGGCACAACAATAGAGTTCCCCTCTGGTGTTCTGTAAGTCATGAGGGTGGAAGGGGTTCACCCGAACACTCTTCGCCGGAAATTACAATATATAAGGTAAAATTCGTTTTGTATCTCTATATATCCGCTTGACATATACCAAAAGCATATCTTAATAGTTAAGGGGGTTCAAAGCCTTTGTGAGGTCGTTGGATACAATTCCCAGTGGGTATAGATTTTTTTCTTGTACCCCTTAGCGAAAATTCTGCCGCAACTGAATGTGACAACTTCTTTTCATTTGGAAGAAGGGATACAATCTCCTATAAATTTAATCTCTCTCTTCTTCAATTGGTAGCATTTACAAATGTAGTCTTGAACTGCTATATGAAAATGGTCTCTGCTCATGATGTGTGCAGCTAAAAAGATAAGTGCTCATGATGTGCAGCTAAAAAGACTATATGAAAATCATCCTGAATTGATAAGTTCAGCTATAAAGAATGCGATTGCGCCAATTTCACTGAAATCACATGAGCCAAACTAAATATACAGCAGTTGCAAAATAAAGCAATAATACAGTTCTCCTACAGTATTGCAACATTATGGTAGCACCAACAGTTGCTGACACTAACGAGTCAAGTTAGCAGCACTTGATCTTGTATTCCAGCTGATAAGCTAAAAACATATCTGCTTCATCATTCAAAACTTCATCAATGGTCTCAATCTGGAAGTTTGATCTATTCCAAGAAATCTTCACTGCACAATGTTGTATAAATTAAAGAAAATAGGAGTATCTAATGTGTGTCCTGTACATTGTGCCAGTTAATTTGTCAGAAGAAAGATACGTTCTTTGACAACTAAGTTATGCTGCACTCTCTGGATGTGGAACTTAGACATCGTCAACCCCAAAAGCTAGCTCATGAGAGGAGGATTTCCTGAGACCGTGTAAGAAGACCACAATCCATACCCTCAACCAATGTGACAAACCCAAGACTAGAAAACTGGAGCGTGGATGACGATAGCCCAATGTTGAGCAACACAACAACAGTGACTAATGAATCTGATTCTGATACCATGTGAAGATATGGCCTTTGAGCCTAATTCAACCCCCAAAAACTAGCTCGGATGATTGCGCAAGACCATGTAAGGAGATCACAACCCATACCCCCTCAACAGATGTGAGACTTGACACTGGAGATGCCATGGAGAAAACTGGAAACACTTCAACCATGGAAATTATTCCACCACAAAATGATGCAATAGTCTTGGCAGAGCAAAACCCGAGACAATAATATAACAATGTCCTAAATGATTATCAAGATGCCCCTGTCAAAGTAGAAAAAGAAGATCCTCCTGCCCTCGAAATGCGATTTTTGCAACAATGGTCCTGAAGGAGAAGAGACTGGCATTGCAGCTTTCATGTAGATTACATGGAAGAGAATTGAAATTCTCCACTTCTAAACCATCACTGCAATGGGTAACATACAATTCATTTAAATGGCTCATCGAGCAACAGATTAACTGATTCTCTGAAATTAGCCTTTTCCGGAATCTTGAGCCAGTATGCCCCTGATGGAGCAAAGAGATCAGCAAAGAAATACTCCACTCAGTTCTAGCGAACTCCATTTGCAAAAGCCTTGGTAAACAGTGAAGAACCACTAGAAATAATGAAATGTGACCATCAGCAGATTTTGGCTATCAGTCTGTGAAAATCTTGACAAGCTTGTCTTAAGAATTTCATGTAAATATGTGTTGACTGCAGCAGGATAGTCGGGAACACTGATGGCTAGTGGTTGCTCTGGTCTGTCAGTGGAAATTCAACTAAGATAATGAATGAGGATCTCTCCGCCTCTCGAAGATACTGGACAGTTCCATTCATGATTTTAACAAGTTTCTGGCTGATGTATAGGCCAAGACCTTCCCTTGATATGCTCTGACTGTAGTAGAACATCTGTTGAATTAGCTCTTCAGGTACGCCTGGTGCTGGATGAGTGATACTGAGAGGTGAAATGTAATATAGTTAGATTTAACGTACAACGGAAGCAGATCACTCTATCAAACTATAAAGGAAACCTTGACTGAAGCCGACCATTTGGGCCAACTGCAGCCTTCGAATGATTGCCCACTCCCTTCTCCACTTAAATACCAGAGTTTGTTCGCTTGGCGCAGGGCTTGAACCTGTTACCTAAGACACAAGTCCCTCAACCTTTGCCAATTGAGCTAACCCCTGGGGGCAACTTGCCCCTTCTCCTCTTTCCATACCCTTTTCTTTAACTAGAAGAACATATTGGATATTATGATAATATATGTATATTACCCTTTTACTAAAGGGAGACAAAAGGATCATTCCAGATAGTTTCAAGATTTGAAATCTCTGACCAATCAGTGAAAACTGCTATAAAGCATAATCAAGCACTGCATCTGCTACTTCTAGGTAAATTCTGACCGATCAGGGAAAAGAATTTTGCAGATTGGTCCTATTTAATATGCTTAGTAATTAAATCCCATATTACGTTAAGAGAGTTAAAAGATTTAACACGCAATAGGACATTTTAATGCTGTTTCACCAGGTCAAAAAGCCCTATTTAGCCTTTTTCAGCTTCAGCATAGTCTGCGGGTATGATACTTGCATCACCACCTCCAATTCAAGAGAGAAAATAAGCTTCGAGGAAAAAAAGAGTGGAACTTGCCCACTTTGTCACAACAAAAGTTAAAGTCTCTATATCTGCATTTGAACTCCTAGAAGTCAAATTTTTGTAAGTTACTCTGCTTAAACAATTTAAGCCACATAAATCATGCTTTCCCATGAAACAGCAAAAGATGCATAGTCAGAAACATGGGGTACAATAACCACCTTGACAACCTAGCCAGGATTAAATTGACATAATTAGCAGTAATTACTTCATTATACAATCTAAAAATGGCACGCAGCCTTCATTTTATCAAATGACTTGCATGCAAGATAATCAATAAATCCAAATCTGAGAGATAAGAACTGATTACCGGAATTCAAGATGCATGACATGCATCTTGGTCCCTATACGTTCCTTTCTTGGAATTATTCTGAGCACCACAGAGGAACCTTCAAAAGGAACAGTAGAGAGGATAGCTGTGGTCAAAAAGTCAGAAAGGACTTGTTGAAGCCTCAAACTGTCACCAATCAGGTACAAGTGTGATAGTTCGACAGGTGAATCGCATGTGACCTGAACCTTGCGCTCCTGACTTAGAATCATAACTTGATTGATGACCACTGTAACAACTTGGCTAAGACTGAACTCACAAGAGTTCATTTCCATATAGCTGGAAAAAACATTGCAATGATCAGGACTGGTCCAAAAATATATACAGATACCAAATATTGGATACCTCTCCAAGACCAGATCTAACACATCTAATATATGCTAAATGATCCAAAAGATGCAAATTGGTGTGACGTTAAGATGCCATAGTACACCAAACGCAAACATTATCATAAACTATACTTTGTGTTAATCATAGACTCCAGCGTGTATTATCATATATGGGTTACTAATAGCTACTTCAGATTACTTTCCTGATTAACAGTACAAATTTCACATTTTAAGGTAGCCATCATCCATCAAATTTGGATCATGATCTGGCACACAATATATTCCACCCTCAACTCTATAATTTCTTGTTAACCCATGAGCTTCGTCCTTCTGCTCTTTTCTTCCTCTGCTAATTAATGTTAAATGAAGTTATTAGATTGATGCATCGCCGCAGATGTTTCCTTCAAAAGAGATAAAATGTGTCTCCTAAGACCTGACACCAAATTTTCAATTCATAGTTTTGCCCAATGTTATTCTCTGTTTGGAAACTAAAGAGCAGATCAGTTTCTTTTCTGGCCCACTATTTCCTTTCCTGATTTCTCTTCTTGTACTTTTCGCTTCTCTTCCCTATGTAGCCTTCAGCCTAATAGTGACCACATAGCATAAATTGTGGATTTTTAAGGTTATCTAAGGGAACTAAGCACTCGTTTCTTCATTTGTTTCAATCCACCTCTGTCCTTCACTATAGAGATACATAAACTAATATCAAGAAGAGAGAAAGACATCAAAGACTTCCAAAAAGCAAAGATCTGCAGAACTGACAGATCAGCTTCCTTGCCAAACTCACTTATCAAAGGAAAAAGATAAATAAAAAAAAAAAGCTTCCTTAGCAATCTCCGAAATGTCAGGCGCACAATTTGTGAAAAACAGGCAGTCAGAATATCCCTTTGCAAGTTCATAGAACCTACAGCTATGATCTTGATGTGCAGAAATACCAGTGCAATGGCCTGAGCATAAAGCAGATATTTCTTCTTTACATAAATAGTACAACAATAAATGGAGGTCAAATTATCATACCATTCCTCAATACTCTCAATATCGGTGTCATCAATGATCTTGGCTAGTTGTTCTTGACACATTGTGCTTGTCTTCAGCAAATGACTTTGATCATTGCTCAAATCAGAAGATTTCATCAGATTCTGAATGCACTTTATCCCATTTAAAGGGTTTTTTAGTTCAAGACGAACATAAGCCAACTTATTTAGACTATTTTCAGCAGCTTGTTCTGACATCTTTTGCACATGCATTGCATATTGAAGATCCGGACTGGGAATATGCAGGAAGCAAAGGACCCCAGTTACCCTACCATCGGCATCAATCCTTTTATTTGCAGATAGTAAGGCTTCAATATACTTACCCTGTTTATCAAATAACCCCAAAAACAATTTCTCACCTTCCCCGCCAGCAATTACCCTATTAAATAATATCCTGAGCTT